TAGCTCTTCTCACAGAGGCCACCCTGCAGCATCCCCTAGCCCCTCCACTACCCAAACCTTGACACGTGTAGCCGATACAGTGCCCGTTGGGAATACCATAGGGCATACCAGGGCCAGCTGTAAGGATTTAGGGCCCAGGAGTCACCTAGCCTCCTGTGTGGGTCAGCCTGGCCTGAGCAGTAGCTCCCAGGTGCTGGGGAACTCTGGGACATCTCTGGCTGCCCACTGAAGTCTGTAAGGAGGGCATAAAGTGTCCTCCCCACAGTGTCCCCCAGGGAGGAGCAACATTGGAGGCTTCTGTGGTAGAAGCAGTTACCATGACTTTGTGGAATCAAATGGTCTGGAGACTGTGGCAGACTAAGCAGTCAAGTGGATAAGGCATACTGAGGAGAGCCCTGAGGGAGGCCCAAAAGGTCAAGGTCCCACTGAGATTTGAACTCAGGTAGCTGGATTCAGAGCCCAGAGTGCTCACCATTACACCATGGGACCTCCTGGACACATGCTGCCTTTCCCCTCTGGCCACCCGAGCTGAGCCATATGTTGCTCTCATCTTTAGCCATCCTGGCTGAGCTGGCAGTCTCTCCATCTCCCTGGCCAGCACCAAGTGTGGCCTTCCTCCAGGGCCACAGGGCACTCTCTACTCACAGGGCCTTTCAAGGCAGTGGCAGAGCTCTTTGTGCCAGCCTGGCATGGCCTCTTCAATGTTGCACCTCACAGAGGACATTCATGGCCCAGCAATCAGTGGTTCAATGCTTGAACTTGCAGTCTCTGCTCCTGCCTCCCTTCACCCCCGTGTTGGACAGCGTGTCAATCCTCCTATGCAAGTTACTACCTTTCCTGTTTCTCACCTTGTACCTTATACTAAGCAGCTGTTAACCAGATATCCTTGTTCTTGGTTGCAGTCCTAGCCGAGCTGCTGACCTGGTCAAATGAGGGGACCAAAAAAGAGGACAGAGGATGAGGTTCAACAGAGGGAAGAGCTGGCAGAAGGCTCCTAATGTTGATGCTCACATGATCAGCGCTTGTGGAAGTGTATATAAGGAATATGCTTATGCTATGTCTATACATCTTTCCACTGAAGTCTGTCACTGCATGAAACCAGGTGACTGGGTCTATGTTAATGTATACTAGAGAAAACACGCAGTTCAGCTGCGCTGGAAGGGACCTTAGCAGGTGTCCTAATTTCAGCTGACATAGAGTTAATTTTCTTCATAGTAGCTAGTATGGGGCTATGTTTTGGGTTTGTGCTGAAAACTGTTGATAATATAGAGATGTTTTTGTTACATAGAGATGTTGTTGAGCAGTTCTTACACAGTCAAGGTCTTTCGCACCCCTCACACCACCCCACCAGTGAGGAGGCTGGGGGTGCACAAGGAGTTGGGAGGGGACACAGCTGGGACAGCTGACCCCAGTGACCAAAGGGATATTCCATACCATATGGCGTCATGCTCAGCACATAAGGGGCTGGGGGAAGAAGAAGGAGGGGAGGTGGCATTCAGAGTGATCACATTTGCCTTCCCAAGTCATCGTTACATGTGATGGAGCCCTGCTTTCCTGGGGATGCCTGAACACCTGCCTGCCGATAGGAAGTGGTGAATGAATTCCTCGTTTTGCTTTGCTTGCATGTGTGGCTTTTGCTTTACTTATTGAACCATCTTTATCTCAACCCACGAGTTTTCTCACTTTCACTCTTTTGATTCTCTCCCCCATCCTGCCAGAGGGGGAGTGGCTGCGTGGGGCTGAGCTGCCAGCTGGGGTTAAACCATGACAGCAGGTATTGTTAATTACCAGTATGGTAGTAAAGTGCAAGGGCCTGCTCAACTGGATCCATGTTTCCGAGTATAAAATGGTCACACCAGCTTCAGACACAGAACAGTGTATCACCTGTCACAGCAGAGCTGAATGATCTAGATGAAGTTCCTTTGCTCAAATGTCAACAGAACAACAACTCACAACCCTGTAAATAGACTTCAATGATATCAAAGTGATTGCTATGACCTGAACATGTCAATTTTTTGGGGAATTGTAACTTTGCTCTGGGATTTTGCATTTGTATTTATATTATTACTGGTCATATATTAACCTATAAAAATTTTTCTATGATACGGCCTTAGGTAATGAAGGATTATGAGGAATATGTGGTTCTAAGACCCATAAGATACTGCCTGTTAATTGAACTGGCACTGGTACATAAGGATGGGGTTTTTTTTCCTGACATCTCAATGCTTCCAGACGTCTTCCAGAATGACAGACACCACTTACCCCAAAGTACCAAACAAAGTACAAAATACTCTGTGCAAAATCCACTTGTTATTTGACAAACTGGCTTCCAGCAGTTTGCACAAAATTTCCTCCTGCAACTAGGAGTACCAGAATCAGAAAGGGCTATCGTAAATGTATTGCTGTAAAAGAAGAGATGGGTAATGCTACGGTTAACACTATTTCAGCCTTGCAGTTAGAGGTAGAACAAGCATCTCAGGAAACCCTGCAAACAGCATGGCATTAGATTATGTATTTGTCACTCAAGGAAGAGTGAACACCACTTGCTGTACATATGCAGACCAAGATCAGAGAATAAAAATGGATGTACGTAAAACTCAAGGTTAACTTCAGATACTGCATGATATACCTGGAGGGGAAAAAAAAAAACCTACCCCAAAACAAAAAAAAAACCAACACCAAACCAAAACCAAACAGATTTTTACTGGTGGAAATAACTGCCAAACATAAAAAGATGGTGAGGCATGGCTCAAGCAGAGTTCAGAACAATGATGCTGAATATATTAGAGGATAAGGAAGAAGAAAAAGAAGTGCTTGGAGTACTGACTATAAATTGTTATAAAATCTAGAGCCACGAATGGGTGATGGAACAGCACAGCATACACGGTGACTGATCCAGGGCTCCCAGGAGTCTGCAGCCCTTCTACCATTGTCAAGATCCTTAAGAGAAGGATGGTATGAGACTATAAGTCTTGAAAAGTCTCATAGGCCCTTGCAGGCCTGAATATGTAAAAGAAACATTTGCAGCTAATGGTCTTGCCAGTCAGCACAATTTACTTTAAAAAGGAGTGGATTATTTATAAGAGGATGCACTGTCTAGAGTGTCCTTTTCTGAAGGTGCCTGAAAATGAGCTGTAAACAAAAGGAGGGAGCAAAGGTGAGGTGAAACAAATTTATATGGAAAGGGAAATACACAGTAAGCATAAGGAGAAATTTTAACTACTTGCAATGTTTTCTGTGAGTAATTACTACTCACAAAAGTGGGGATCATGTGTAAATTCAAATTGCAACTGCTCAGCAATGGTAAATTGTGACCAACAAATGATCTGGCATGGACAGCAAGAAGGCCTAACTGCAGAACTGGCTGAGTGCAGAAATGCCAGAGACAGGAGGACTTCCTGTAAGGGAGTTAAGCATCCCTTGCTGATAAGAATTATGGCAATATTGTCTTGTAGGAATCCTGGAATGTGAGCGGTCAGGGGCCAACAGTGATCAGTCAGTGGATGCACCCAATGCCAGGCCGAGGTGCCTGATACCAGCACTCACATGCTCTGTGCTGGTGCAACTGTACGTAAGGAACCAGCTCATGCTGCATCTTTGCAGACTCCGTGTAGAAGCTCTTATGGAGGTAGAACTCTGTCCAAAGCTCATAAATCTTTATATTTAAGTGCAAAGGTATTTCACCTCAAGGGGTGCAATAAAAATTCCCCAACAACAGACGTTGCCAGATGCACCACCTCCACACTGATTCCTTACTGCCATTCTCCAAATATTCCTACTCCAGAGCTAAAAGGGAACAAGAGCTACCTTCTTCTAGCGATGAAAATGATTGGTTTTGCAGATCATTTGGCTTTCTGTTCCCTGCTTAGGCATTGGACATCCCTTACCAGTGCTGGCAAAAAGATCTAGACATTCCTATTGCACCAAAACCAGCTCTGTCCTGTCTCCTGTCAAGCCACCCACGTCTCCCATTTACTCTCCCTTTGCTCCTCCTCACTCCTCAGCCAGGCTCCACTTTCCCTTTTCCATCTATCTCTCCCACTCTTACAAGCCATTCCCCCTTAAACACCAACAACCTGCATGGCAGCTGGAGTCTTTGTTCAAGGGCTGACACCACCCTACGTCCCCAAGAAACTGGAGGTGCTGCCAGAAAGTCATCACATTTCCTCTGCAGGAGTGTCTCCACCCTAGTGCTCACAGCAGGTTTGGAGACCCCCTCAGGTACATGCAAGAAGCAAAGTGCAGTCTAATGTCCCACCCTACCACTACCACCAGCCCTGGTTGTCTCCACACAGCTGCCTTCCCTGCTGCCCTGGAAGGAGCCGAGACCAGCTGGGGAGTGAAATCATCCCCCCATGACAGGAAATCCCAGGTGCCTGGCTGAGGACAAGGTGCAAGAAGCCGTAGCCATAGTCCCTGGGGTTACGCCTCTCAAGGCCTCTGGAAGCCTGGTAGCTGTCACGCTCAGTGCAGGTCCCAACCGCAGAGCTTTGAGTGGAGCATTGCCCTGAACCTCCCAGGCAGCCGGGTGTCATTGCAGAGGGATGTGATCAGCAGGGCAGAGAGGCCTGGAGCAGGTAGTTGTGGCCGAGTGGTGAAGGCGATGGACTAGAAATCCATTGGGGTTTCCCTGCGCAGGTTTGAATCCTGCCAACTACGGGGTGCAGTCCCCTTTTGGGCTGCCTGCAACTGAACACACTGCAGCTGTGGGACTCAGCCCTGCAGAGCCCAGGGAGCAAAACCCCTTGAGGTCCATGCCTCCTGGAAGAAATGCCTGGATGGATGTGAAATCCTGCTCCCATTGACAAGGTAAGGAAGTGAGGGGAAGAGAAGGGGCCAGCAGTGAATGTGAGCCATGAAAGAGGAACTTGTGTGCAGGCATGGGCCTCATTGCTAATGATGGCCTGCTTCGGTGCTACAGCATCTTAAGGAAAAAGGAAACCCCAAGCGGCCCATGTGGAGAGAGACCAGAGAAAAAGAAGGTGATAAAATCCCACTGCTATTGCATGATTTGTCCCCTGCAGCCCTGCCACAGAACGCGGGGGATGTGAATGGCAAGATGCTAACTGCAACACGACTTCCTTAGAACAACAAATACTATGTGAGACAATGAACTTTTAACCTCAGAGTTGACAGGATGTAAAGATCCAACCTAAACTGGCTCTCACCTGCTGAGAACGTGCAATACTGACAATAAAAAGAATAGATATGCCTTAGGAATCTAGGTGTAGCAGCACGGCCTCACTGCATAATCAGCTGGATTCCCCGGAGATGTAGTGCATGCTGCCATCTGCACACCCAGCCCGCTCTCTACTTACTGCCCTTGCTTTGCCTCCTCTGCCTGGCTCTGCATGCTCTGGCATGTGGACGAGACAGAGAACCAGCAGACACATGCACACACAGGCATCAGCACTGCCAGCTCATCCCTCACCCTCACCAACAGGCTCCACCAGCTCAGCCTGCCCTGAGCACTGTGGGGACACCTTGCT